ACTTGAGCCTGCGATCATTTCAAACTGGTGATTTGTCAGCGGATAACTTCAAAAAAATACTCGACCTCGATGGGTCGACACTTGAGCCCGCGCTACGGTCAGGTGATACTGGTCAGCGGATGCCCTGTTTTGACAGCTGTCAATTGATCACAACATTGATGTGCAATTAGTTTTCTCTTGGGCTCCCAAACTAGCTAAAAGTGTGAGAGTAAACATTGGTTGTCCTGTGGTGCGGACGGACGGTCGGTCGGCGGTCGGTGTACGGTCACGTGATTACCAAATTTTCTGGGATGGGTAGATTTACTAAGCTATGGGGCTTCGAATTGAGCCCGTGATCAAATAAAATATCAGCGCAAAACTTTAAACACTACGTGACCTCAATAGATACAAAAAATGAGCCCGCGATCCACTCAGGTGATGATGGTCAGCGTATACTCTAGTTTGACAGCTGTCAATTAACCTTCATTAGGATGGCGACTATTCGAATTAACAGACTAAGAGTGTGAGTAGGACATTTCCGTCCGGCATGTAGTGGAAAATGCAGATCGTGTACCTGAGCGAACCTGAGCCCTCGTTATTAGTTTTCTTATAGTGGTCTGCACATGTCCCATTTTGACAGCTGTCAATTGACCTTAATTTGGCTTGCCAATGTAACTTTAATCGACTGTCAGCCAACTGACAGCCTTGCCCGGCGTAGTTTCGTTTTTATGTTGAATTGGTAAGTGTGACATATTATATCAGCTTATATATAGTAACCTGAGATCAGGCTCTATTTTCGTTTCGCTTTGAAAATTACATTCCGGCGGGCAAGGCGAAACGAAAAGAGAGCCTGATACAAACCTTTAACGAAATGTCTGCCGCCCACTTTTTTGATTGATTGACATTTGCCGAATCAGCCAATCAGAATTACTTCCGTTGCTTGTTTTTCTAGTATGCAAATTTTTCACGCGCGTGGGAAAAATGCAGACTGGCTGACTTAAAAAATAGCTTTTATCTCTTAATCAAAATGCACCTTGTTAGCGGTCAACAACTTGCAGAGGGATTCAACTCCGCGATACACTCACTTTCCGTAAATAATGCAAATCCTGAGAAGACATAAACAACCACATGAGTTTTCTGAATTTCCATGGCACGTATTAAGACATATTTTCCTACCATAAGACTATAAAACAATAAAAAAGACAGCGAAATCGATCCTTCTCTCCACCGACGACGGATCATTCACGAAAACAAACACGCGAGGAATAAGCGATTTCAACTTCCGGCGTTTCCGACAGCCAATCAGATCTTGTGGCATTGTTCTAACAGCCAATCAGCGTTACGGCCAAAATCTGGCCGTAACGAGCACAAACTTGTAATAGTTTGTATCAGGCCCAATTTCAGCGGTAGCCGTTTGAGAGAATGTATGAGAACCGCTCAAATTGGGCCTGATCTCAGGTTAATATATAGGGGCAAAACGACTGGTATTTTATCTGAGCCCGCGAGACGGTCATTGTCAGCGGATGTCTGATTTCGACAGCTGTCAATCTAATCGTACTCATACGGATGGCTTACATAACTAAGAGGCCAGTCAAGTTGTGCAAGATCTATTGTGACATTTGACATCGGCTTACATGAAGTGTGTGTACGGACGGGCGGGCGTACGCTACGTCATAACCAAATTTTCTCGGATGGATAGTTTACCAAATTTTCTTACCCATGGTGCTCCGCTATAACCGGTTCCTCGTCGCTAGAGTTGCTATTGTCGTACCTACGAAAGAAATTATGAGAAATTGTTGACCCTTTCGTCGGGACAAATCAAGCGAACTATCAAAACTACCTGGGAATTTCTAACTAAGGTAGGCATTGCATTAGCTGAAGCTACACTATAACTCCAAGGTTTCTTTACCGTAAAAATGCATTATAACGGAGCTCCACGCGCACGAGCGTAGCCCCATACCTAATGTAAAAAAACTGTGGTAATCTACTTACCCCAGCTTTTAGCCGAGAAATTTTGGTAATCAGGTAACGGTACGCTCGCCCGTCCCACAGGCATACCAATGTGAAATAACTGAATTAACAGGTAATATATAGATTTACCCAGGGCTAAAAGAGAAGCTTTGGTTAATAATACTTATAAACAAAAAAAATTAAATCGTTTAGTGTTCAACGGGGACGGCAATGAAAATGGCATCAAGATCAATAGATGTAACAAGAATCGCCAAAAGGTGATTTTTACTGTGCTACCAATTTAATTTTCCTGGGGAAGTGGGTGGCTGCACACTTAGGCCACCAGACTTGTCGCTGACCATTGCGTGACGTAGCATCTCATGTGAGAGTTAAACAGTTACTCATTTGAACATTGTACCCTTTTGGAAGACTTTCGTAACAAGAAAAATGAGTACCATTTTTAAGTCGGGGCTGTATAGTACCTTTTCAAATTCCACCATTATGAATAAAAATAAGGAAGTGAGCCATTTTAAGCAGGAAACAATAAGCGTTATTTTCACGCACCCCTCCCTCAATCCCTCTGCTCCCCAGTGATATAGTGTGACTAATTTGACCCAACCGGAAAATTCCAAAAACTATTGTCGTTACGGGTCAAAACGGCTGTAACAAGCAGTACATTTCTCAATTCTGGTTCTTAAAACTAACAAAGCAAATTAAATTTAAGTTTTGTTTTTGTCTGATATTGCGTTGAAAAGCCTCTCTAACTGTCGTAGTGAATATAATTATATAACATTTTTTTGACGTGGTCAACAATGAGCACATTCCCCAGGACATTCCTTTCCTGTAAGGAATGCGGACTTTTCACACGCAAAGCAAGAATCGCAGTAACATAAAAAGAGACATTGGCCGTCACATCTACTTTATGGAAGATAATTTATTTTATGCAATTTTTAAGTTACGCCATGTGTAGTTCAATGTTGTTACTAAAGTTCTTCGGACACGTCGTATATTCTAAGTAGCATAGTGCACACAGCATAGAGATCAGAGAATGCGTCAAGTGGTCGCTTACAAGAGCTTAAAAACAACGGAAAATCAATAAACTTTCAGGCCCAAAAGGTGGTCGAGGTCGCTTACAAGAGGTGGTCGTTTACTAGAGGTTCCAACTGTAAGGCTTTGATGGGGAAAGTTTTGGTGCATGAGTTTTGGATTGGCGGTCTCTTATGGGAGGTGGTCCCACATGGAGGTTCGACTGTACCATCAACTGACGTAATACAACTCACTTTGACTCTGCAGATGATTACCGCGCGTCAGTCAATGTCAATGCAACAGTCCTATTTAGTACTACGTCAGCCCTCGGACGATCATGTTCATCCTACTTATAGATCTACTTAAGAAAATAGGAGGGAAAAAAGGAAAACTCCTCAGGTTTTACACCGAGTTACGGACTTGAGCTGGAACCGAGCACGGCCAGGGGCCTGGGGGCTATCCCTATTATATATGAACCATTATAGTTTTTTGAAAACCCACAAGCTTAAAATAACTGTAACTTTCTCAGTGTTTTGGTGGTAAAGAAGTAGGTTTTCTTTTTAATTGCTAAACCCTTGTATTCCGCTCCCCAGAGATGTTAACCCTTAGAAATAAGTTCACTTTCCCAAATTTGAGTTTTCTGAACTGATGTTTCCGCTGGCCCGGTTTGTAGTTTGTTGACAACAGATTGATTTTTTCAGTGGAAGGTAGATGAACGTACAATGAGTAGACAGACAATTTTTATTATGTAAACACCAGTAAAAAACCAAATGAGCTTTCGCGCAAAAACTTGATATCTTCACATGTGATAATAACATGTTATCTTCACATGTGAAAATGTCATCGTTGCTATAGCTTCATAATAAACCGCACCTTTGAGACCAAAAAACTATTTATAAGTAAAATGGCTGGTATTTCATTGGTGTTTTTATAATAAATAGAATATAACATGGTCGCTTGGAGATACGAAATGTCTCTTCTCTTTCAACACTCCAAGAGAATTTTCCCATCTCCGCGCGGCCATATAATATCCTCTTTATATGCATCATGTTTAAACAATGGTAAATCTGTTTCTTTGTTGTTGTTTTTGTTTTTGTTTTTAATTTCGATCATTACCACCAAAAGAATGTTAATAACATAAACATAACATAACATAATCTTTATTTAACGTGGGAGAAACACTTAGCTAAAGCTATTTTGTAGGTTTTCCACAAATCAATATTAAGAAAGAAAGAAAAAAATATATGTACATAGAAATGTATATATATATATATATATATATATTATTAATAATCACAGGAGTTCAGGCTTCAGGAGTAATCATTGATCGTTTATTGCGACAGTGCTGTTTCACGAACTAGCAAGTTCATGCCCCCACAGAAACAGATATGTACTTCAGAACTCTAGAGTAACGTAACTAAGACACAATCCATCTGTTACCTAGATACTATCTCTTAACGCATCCCTATATTTACTGCCAGCTTTTAATTTTAACGGTCAATCGTTGAAGTTGCCTGATGAGTGTGGTCCTACAATTTCGGACCATACGAAACAGCACTGTCGCAATAAACGATCAATGATTACTCCTGAAGCCTGAACTCCTGTGATTATTAATAATCAATGCTCTTCAATTAAATGAATTGAGCGCTCTACGGAATACGTTCTACCCAGAATACAAGTATTTATATATATATATATATATTTTTTTTTTTAGAGACGACCCCAGTCCATCAAGTCATATTATACAACGATGAAAAACACGTAGAAGGATCCCTTTTTGAGATAAATCAAATGCGACTGTGATAGGCAAAAACGAATTATACTGAAGGAGCTAATAAATAAGCTTTTACTCCAGCTTTTAATTTTGCTTTTCAGACCCTTTTCGTTATCGTACATAAAGAGAAACGGTATCAGCAGAAAAAAGAAACCACAATATGTGACTGAGCTGAAATAGCAAAGCCAGCAAAAGAAAAAATATGACAAACGCAGCTATTAATGGTAATATTGGTGACCCCTTTGTCAACCTTGAAGATTTACAGAACGCATTAGGCTTCGCCTATTACAGTCTGGGAGATTTCCGGAAAGCCATAAAGTACCTTGAACGATACCTCAAAATTTTGAAAGAAGTGGGAGACAGGGCAGGAGAAGGAAAAGCGTACGGTAATCTTGGCAACGCCTATCACAGTCTTGGAGATTTCCAGAAAGCCATAGAGTACTATGAACTACGCCTCAAAATTTCGAAAGAGGTGGGAAACAAGGCAGAAGAAGGAAGAGCGTACTGTAATCTTGGCAACGCCTATTACAATCTTGGAGATTTCCAGAATGCCATAGAGTACTATGAACTACGCCTCAAAATTTCGAAAGAAGTGGGAGACAGGGCAGGAGAAGGAAAAGCGTACGGTGATCTTGGCGACGCCTATAGAAATCTTGGAGATTTCCAGAAAGCCATAGAGTACCAGGAAGGACACCTCAAAATTTTGAAAGAAGTGGGAGACAGGGCAGGAGAAGGAAGGGCGTACGGTAATCTTGGCGTCGCCTTTAAAAATCTCGGAGATTTCCTGAAAGCTGTAGAGTACCATGAACAACACCTCAAAATTTCGAAAGAAGTGGGAGACAAATCAGAAGAAGGAAAAGCGTACGGTAATCTTGGCGTCGCCTTTAAAAATCTCGGAGATTTCCAGAAAGCCATAGAGTACCATGAACGATACCTCAAAATTTCGAAAGAATTAGGAGACAGGGCAGTAGAAGGAAGAGCGTACGGTAATCTTGGCGACGCCTTTACAAATCTCGGAGATTTCCAGAAAGCCATAGAATATCATGAACGACACCTCAAAATTTCGAAAGAAGTGGGGGACAGGGCAGGAGAAGGAGACGCGTACGGTAATCTTGGCATCGCCTTTACAAATCTCGGAGATTTCCAGAAAGCCATAGAGTACCATGAACGACACCTCAAAATTTCGAAAGAAGTGTGGGACAGGGCAGGAGAAGGAAGCGCGTACGGTAATCTTGGCATCGCCTTTACAAATCTCGGAGATTTCCGGAAAGCCATAGAGTACCATGAACGAGACCTCAAAATTACGAAAAAATTGGGGGACAGGACAGGAGAAGCAGGCGCGTACGGTAATCTTGGCAACGCCTATCACAGTCTTGGAGAGTTCCAGATAGCCATAGAGTACCATGAACGACACCTCAAAATTTGGAAAGAAGTGGGAAACAGGGCACGAGAAGGAAAAGCGTACTCTAATCTTGGCAACGCCTATCACAGCCTTGGAGATTTCCAGAAAGCCATAGAGTACTATGAACGACACCTCAAAATTTCGAAAGAAGTGGGAGCCAAATCAGGAGAAGGAAAAGCGTACTCCCATCTTGGCAGCGCCTATTACAAACTTGGATATTTCCAGAAAGCCATGGAGTACCATGAACGACACCTCAAAATTTCGAAAGAATTGGGAGACAGGGCAGGAGAAGGAGGCGCGTACGGAAATCTTGGCAACGCCTATCACAGTCTTGGAGATCTCCAGAAAGCCATAGAGTACCATGAACGAGACCTCAAAATTTCGAAAGAAGTGGGAGACAGGGCCGGAGAAGGAATCGCGTACGGTAATCTTGGCAACGTCTACCACAGTCTTGGAGATTTCCAGAAAGCCATAGAGTACAATGAACGACACCTCAAAATTTCGAATGAAGTGGGAGACAGGGCAGGAGAAGGAAGCGCGTGCGGTAATCTTGGCAACGCCTATGACAGTCTTGGAGATTTCCAGAAAGCCATAGAGTACCATGAACGAGAGCTCCAAATTTGGACAAAAGTCGGAAACAAATCAGGAGAAGGAGACGCGTACTCTCATCTTGCCAGCGCCTATTTTGGTCTTGGAGATTTCCAGAAAGCCATAGAGTACCATGGACGACACCTCAAAATTTCGACAGAAGTGGGAGACAGAGCAGGAGAAGGAAGCGCGTACGGTAATCTTGGCATCGCCTATCACAGTCTTGGAGATTTCCAGACAGCCATAGAGTACCATGAACGACAGCTGAAAATTTCGAAAGAAGTGGGAGACAAATCAGGAGAAGGAAGCGCGTACGGTAATCTTGGCATCGCCTATCGCAATCTCGGAGTTTTCCAGAAAGCCGTAGAGTACCATAAACGACAGCTCAGAATTATGAAAGAAGTGGAAGACAGGGTAGGAAAAGGAAGAGCGTACGGTAATCTTGGCAACGCCTTTTTTAATCTAGGAGATTTTCAGAAAGCCATAGAGTACCATGAACGACACCTCAATATTACGAAAGAAGTGGGAGACAGGGCAGGAGAAGGAAAAGCGTACTGTAATCTTGGCAACGCCTATTACAGTCTTGGAGATTTCCAGAAAGCCATAGAGTACCATGAACGAGACCTCAAAATTTCGAAAGAAGTGGGAGACAGGGCAGGAGAAGGAAGAGCGTACGGTAATCTTGGCAACACCTATAGAAATCTTGGAGATTTCCAGAAAGCCATAGAGTACCATGAACGAGACCTCAAAATTTTGAAAGAAGTGGGAGACAGGGCAGGAGAAGGAAGGGCGTACGGTAAACTTGGCATCGTCTATCACAGCCTTGGAGAGTTCCAGAAAGCTGTTCAGTATTATAAGAACAGTGTGATAGCCTTTGAGCACATTAGGGGAAATCTCATATCTGAAGACGAATGGAAGATTGGCCTTAAAAGTACGTATGATCAATCTAATTTGAGGCTGTGGGAGCTGCAGCTTAATTTAGGTAAAGTCATCGAGGCACTTTTAACTGCTGATCAAGGACGTGCACAAGCTTTGAACGATCTTCTGGAGTTCAAGTATGGCCTTAAAGGGTTACGCCCTGAAATAGGAACACTTTGTGCAAGACCAAGTGACTTTGCTAGTTACTTACCACCAAATACAGCTTTCATGGGTGTCAGCGAGGGAGGAATAGTTCTTTGGGTGAACGAGAAAGAAAAAGAAATCAAAACTAGAAGAACTGAGATCGATATCCCCGTCACAACCTATTTTCAGTTTCTGCTGGAAACTACACATAAAGAAATAGGTGTGAGAGCTGATGTTAACTGTGAAGATCGCTCATTAAGTAACCCAAGCGATAAAAAGTTAGCAGAAGAAAGATCCAGTGAGGCGAAGTCTCGTCCTCCATATTTACAGACAAAGTCTTTACAAATATTGTACAATGTTGTTATAGACCCTATAAGAGACTTACTTCAGGGTGATGAGGTTGTGATTGTTCCACAAGGACCTCTGTGTTTGGCTCCTTATGCTGCTTTCATGGACTTGAAATCAAAGTACCTCTGCGAAACGTTTAGAATTCGTCTGCTTCCCTCACTTTCTAGTCTTCGATTAATCCAAAATTGTCCAGCAGATTGGCACAGTAAGACTGGCGCCCTTCTTGTCGGCGATCCGTGGGTACAGGAGGTAGTTTATGAAGGAATGAGGCTGGAGCAGTTAGAGTGGGCCGAAAAGGAAGTGCAGATGATTGGGGAAATAATTCAAACTAAACCTCTCGTTGGAAAGCAGGCAACAAAAGATGAAGTCTTAACACGTTTCTCCTCGGTTGCTTTGGTGCACATTGCTGCTCACGGTAAAATGGAAACAGGAGAAATTGCCTTGACCCCTAACATAACACGTTTATCCTTGAATCCAGCCAGAGAGGACTATCTCTTAACTATGCAAGATGTTTTAAAGGCGCAGATTAGGGCAAGACTTGTTGTACTCAGTTGCTGTCACAGTGCGCGGGGAGAAGTCAAGTCTGAGGGTGTGGTCGGCATTGCAAGGGCATTTTTGGGTGCTGGTGCTCGCTCTGTTCTGGTGTCGCTGTGGGCGATCGACGACGAAGCTACTATGGAGTTCATGAAAGTTTTCTACCAACAACTAGTCCATGGACGAAGTGCCAGTGAGGCCTTGAATAAAGCCATGAAATCCATGAGAGAATCTGAGCGCTTTAGTGCAGTGAAGTACTGGGCGCCGTTTGTTCTCATTGGTGATGACGTAACGCTTGAGTTTGAAGGCAAGGTATTTTGAGACATATTTAAACCTGGGATCATAATTCCTGTTTTTGCAAACGTCATTTTAACTACCAATTACTTTTGTCGCTTCACTAGGCAACGAAATCAACCCGTGCCAATTAATTAGAATCAATCTGCCAGTCACTAGTCAAGTTCACCAGAACAACGACGGAGTCTGACTTTGGTAGTTTGTTTGGCAGTTAAATAACACTACAAAATTTATTTCAGGTCTCATGGATTGATTTTATTTCTTTTCAATGTGTCGGTGGCCCCGTTTGAGTTCGTTCCATTGACACTTACAGTCGAACCTGACGTAAGCGACGACCTAAAATGCCAAGATCAGATTTCCGGTCGCTTGTTTTACGGAAGGTGGTCGCTTAGGAAAGTCTCCAGATATGCACGGCAGGTTAATTCTCTATTAAGCCTTCCGGGAATTTATTTATTTCAAGGACGTTTGAAAGAGAACCTTATTTTATTAAACGAAGATTGTGGTATAAATAAAATATGTTCATAAAGAACTAGAACGCTAAGTGGAAAAGTTCAGGCACATGAAGTAGGAGATCATGAAGCCGAAGATCAAAATCAAATCCGAACTTCAAGCTCACGAATAAACCATACAGGCTGATCAGTCCTCATGAAGCGTTACAGTCGTGATAAATCAATACATACATGATACGTCTATTATTAAAATATAAGAATTGGCAGAAGGGGCTTGAAAGAGAGAGGGGGTTTAATAGCTTTCTTTCCCTAAAAGGGGGAGGTTATTATAGAGGGGGGGGCTTAATAGAGGATTTTTGGTATGCAAGATTCTTTAAATCTACAATAAGTCTAATCATTGGTTGAAGTTACCAGTTTAAATGTGACCCTTTGTTCTAATAGATTTAGCGCGTGTTCGATTCACCGTATTCCGCGTCTCAAATAAAAATAACTGGAATAAACTCCCTAGAAATCACTTGTTTTGCCTTTCATTGTATTGCAATATCTAAAAAATTGCTTGAAATAGAGTATTCTGAACTATGAAAGCTTTAAATGGTTCAAATATTTTGGTATGGAAGAGGTCTGTAACAAAACTTTGCGTATTCTTATTCTGGAATATGATCAATCGAGCGCACTCTTAGAAGTCAGTTGTCAAAATGATATGCCTCGCTTGTTGAAATCACTATCCTTTTCTTCTGCTAGCTTGCTAACATTCCTTTTTCTGTTTTTTGTTGTTGTTGTTGTTTTTGTTGTTGTTGTCGTTGCTGTTGTTGTATAGGTGTGAGGAAGAATGCAGTGAAGCAGTTCCTAACCATATGAAGTTGATGTCATTTTCTGATTTGTCACGATCACGAGGCGGAGCGTTTCTAGCAAGATTTGGAACTCTTAATCGCGAAAAGAAAATTATATGCTGTTAATAAATAAGTTGGAGCCTTTCGTAGACTGGAAATTACAGTGCACGCGTTTCGTAGCTTATTTTGTGACAGTTGTTTCCACATTCAACTTGTTTTATAGTCACCTGAAATATATCAGGAATCAGTAGTCAGTTTCGGCTATTTTCATTGTTATACGATATGTGACAGAAGCATTTTTGAACGTGTTAATTTAATTTAGTAAAATCCAACTAGTGGTCTATTATCAATGCTGCGTTCTGATTGGTGGAGCTACTACTAGACTCTATGTTATAGCCCACTAGAAGCGAAAAGCGCGGGCTTTTTGGCGGCAAAAAAAGATTAAAGTCTAGCTTTAACTAGCTAAATTTTTTTTTATTCTATTGACTCAGAGCCCATTCGGGCTCAAGGAATAATTGTTAATAGAATAGTTAATACAGTTAGTATAGTTTTTTTCATTGTTTTTTAATATAGTTTTTTTACGGTTTTATCGCATCATTTACACAACTGTATTTACTAATTGTTTTTGCAGATCGGTTGAAGTTTATTAGTGTTTAGAAAGGTCTCCAATCTTATACTGAAGTCAAATTCCCAGTTCAGTTAGTAGGTTAAATCACTAAAATGTAGTTTTACATTTACTCGTCCTTTTGATATGCGTAAGGATTGCTATTTCATAGCCGAGGCGTACTCGCGTACGTTGTTTTTACAATCTGATTTCTCTAGTCGACCCTTTAATTTTTATCTGAAAGTTTCAGTGAGGCCTTTTACTGTAACCCCTTTTCATGTCACACAGTTCATTTGTTTGTTTTCGTATAAATACAAGTACACTCAACTCTCTCGTAAGCGACCAGTCTTGGTGCACGACAAAGTGGTCGCTTACGGGAGGTGGTCGTCTACGGGAAAAATCAAGAAAAAAAACCTCAAACTGAACCGATAAACGTAATAAATAAAGTTATTATCTTACAAGTAAAAATGTGGCAAATAGAGAACTGCTAATAATGTTTAACTCGAATAGCGGTTGGAACTGATGAAACTTTGTACGTAACATTATGCATGAATGCGACAATCCACTTTTTTACCTACAGATCGCATTACAGACATCTTTTTTGTAAGTCAACTGCTATAATCTGTCAGCCAACTTGGTCAGCACTATTCAAAAATGAACTTTTGTGACATTCGAGCAACGGTTTTGTTACAATCATACGTGATCATGCCCGGTGGTGGCTTACCGGAAACAAAAATATGTCAAATTTCTGACCCAAAAAGTGGTCGCGGTCGTTTAAGAAATTTATGTAGTGGTCGCTTACGAAAGGGTTTTTGAAACAGTGTTTGACTGAGAAATACTACATAATTCAGTTTCCCCATGTTTGTTACAAAATAAAAATGAAGTTTAGAGTGCAAACAGAATTTCTGTCAATATCATATACCCCGAAGGGACAGGTAAATAACTTGCTTGTATTTCAATTGTGAGGTTTCCTAAAGCAAAAAGCTCTTAAGGTAATTCCCTTGTTTTCGGCACTGCGCATCACTCAGCACATAATGTTGCGACTTCAAAGGTGGCGTTGATTTTCACTGGTCGGCTAAAAAGAAGTAGCTATGGCTCTTTTTGCAGTCCAAATGCTTTAACTAGCAATTTTGATTATTCTACCTGGTTAAAGAGATGTTTGTGTTGAAACTCGCCCCAGTCCTCTCGCGCAAAATGATCGTTTGAAGCCGAAATAATCCCTTTGTTGTCGTTTTGCTATGAAACGGGACAGGTGACCCCCTTTCTATTTGTGTTTTTTACTCGCTATGACCACACAAAAAATATCTATTCGGGAAGAAGAAATCTGGATAGTAGAAGATGTTTTGTTTTAGATATGAATGACGCAAATTTCCGGATTTAGATCCACGGATGAACGAGATAATGATAAAACTGTCCATTTCTCTACAGTTTTTTCAAGATCCGGTAATTAAAGGTCTCGTAACTGAAAAAATATTACCCAGACAAACAAACGTGCTTAAAGTTTTGGAAAGATTCATAGTTTTTGGCTATAAAGTAAGAATTTTTGACGGCTGGTTTCGAACATTTCGCGTGCAACAAGGAAAAAATAGTCAGTATTATGGGTGCACAGGGCGAAAACAAGCACCTTGACCCCATCTTTTTATTGCAGTTTTCCAATGCCCTATACATGGCTGACATTTGTGCCAAGTTTGAAAAAAATCATGATTGTTCATCATTTTCGTTCAAGGGAAGTTACTGCTTATTCCCAAGAGACTCGAATTGTTTGAGGTTGAATTCTAAAATATGGAAATTGGTCAATTCGTATGGAGTGGTCAAACAGACGTTTTACCAGAAAGAGATGAGTAACTCAGCGGAATACTATTCTTAACGTTAAAACAGAGTTGTTTTGGAAACTCTTTCGGACCTCCCATCGCGACAAAGTTTTGTGACAGTCGTCCATCGAGTCACATTGCAAACAAGGACGTTCGCGGGTAAACTTTGGAGATGTAATGTTAAATTCGTTTCAAAGTGACGCGGCCGGTGATGCAAATAACTAGTTTGCGCTATGACAACAGCCGACGAAGAAAGTGAAGTCCAAGAAAATGTGGTAAGTACATTAAATCGAAAAATTCTGACGTGTGTAGTTTTAGTTAGCCTGCATAACAGACGCTTTATGAGCCAAGCGAGGCGAACGCGGCATTTTGCGCGAAATCCCGCGTTCGCCTCGCAAGTTTTATTGGGATGGTTAAACATGTTGAGGGGAATATGAGCAGGGGAATGGAAAAATATATTGCATTGTTCTGTTATTGTTATCAGCTACTAGTTGTTTCAGCCCCATACCCCGCCTCTATTACAATCAAAGCCGCCACCAACCTTTCAGACAGTGAATAATACTGTAAGGGATTATGTAACATATTCCCCTAAAAAGAACTGAGAAAAATGAGCAAAGGGAAAATAATTGCTGTAAATACACTGTCTTTAAAATATGAATAAATAAGAAAACCAGAACGTGTTCTGGAATTTTTCACAGCCATTAAATACATATGTTATCATTTGTTTGGGCTATTTTACAGATCGAAAATATAGACAGATTTTCCTACCCTTTCATTTACTTCAACTAGTGAAATCCCTTCTCTTTCATATACCTGAAGCCTGAAAAAGATACCCCTTTCTGGAGGAGTCTTCCCTTACACTGGAAGTACCCAACTCACCACTAATATTGGGATGTAGATCGTAATAAGAAGACCACGAGAAACCGCCTCTGAATCATCTCAGTAAAAACTTGCAATTGCCTTTGTAACGCAGCCATTCAGAGGAGCATAAATTTGAAATGATAGGTCATTTACAACAGATGGTACATGACACACATGGGTTTTACAGTAAAATCATTAACGAAATAGGAAACGTTAGCGTCTTGCTGCTAAGATTACCCCTAAAAACGCACATTTGATCACTTTGTCTGATAAAAAAAGTGGAACAATGCTATTTAAGGCCTTAAAATTGGGTTTTGTAGAAAAAAGAGGACAATCAGGTCCTTTGTCAGTTGTCAGTAAAACTCAAGGTAAATGTCAGTAGTCAGTTAATTTTCGGCTATTTGTCAGATATCAGTTAAAATTTTGGCCATTTGTCAGTTCTCAGTTAACCCCATCCAGACCCTCTTTGTGTCTTTTTTTAGAGAAGGGACTACCTATATAGAGATTCAAATAAATGTACTGAAACAAAGCATTCCCCGCCCCTCCCATTTTCTCAGGGAGACTCCCTGGGAACGAGGTTAAAGCGGGGACCTCCTTCTTGAGTCCGTTGTAGGGCGGTGGCCGTTAAGAGACTAGGAACTATATTGCCGCCAGATCACAGAAAACTTCAAATCTCTGAGAGAACAAAGACATCCTAGAGGGGAAGAGGTTAGGGCTTAAATTCTTCAACAGAAAGAAAACATTAGACCGTGATTTTACCAGCATTGTAGGAGATGCTCGTAAGATGTTTCACGGACCCTTGGCACTGCAACCAGCAACAAAAACCAGATTTTTTTGTTTCCTCCTGACGCTGAACGTTTAAAAATTGGGCGATAACGACATTTGATTACAACTAGTGGAATCCTTCAGTAATTTGGGGTTACATTTATCTGAGGAACTGCTCCTAGTGAAGCCAGCATTCGGTACTGGCTACCAAACAATACTTTAAAGTAGCATAAAGCTGTTAAGTGTAACGGAAGAACCCATCTCCGTTCCACATCTTCACCTCCGATTGTTTAAGATATCAATATTGATATATCAAACAGAACTATCAAGGAGATCCCATACCGGGGGGAGAAAAAGTCCGAGCCGAGCTGTTTACTTACTGAAGGGAGAGGATCCTCTCTTGCTTACTGATGAGCACGGATAGCGAGAATTTGTCTCGCCTGCATAGCAGGCGACAAAAGGGTAGCCTATGAACAGGCTTTCTGTTTGGGGAAAGTGTGGTCTCAAAAAATCACGAGGTTTTTTTTCACCCTTTTCCCCAAACGGAGAGCCTGTTCAAAGGCTAACAAAAAGGGGGAAGGGATTGGGAGCAAGGGGGGAAGGGAGGGGAGGGTAATTTTATTCCATGGGATTAGTACAGGATTAAAACTGGTAAACTGCGTCAATCTCATGTAATGCGGAAATCTGTTAGTACCTTGATAAAATTATAGCGGATCAGTAGAAAATTGGGAGGAGTTGAGGGAAACCTATCTTTCGTAATACTACCACTGAAATTTGTCAGAAGTCTGGTTGTCAAAAAAGTCTCAGGGGTAGAGTATATGACAACACATCTGCGACAATAAACATTCCATTTTACTTCAAATCACACACAAAATGCGAGTCTTGTTAAAGGTCACACAAGAGGCATATCTGGCAGTGTAAGGAGAAAAACAGGAAGTCTAAGATTAACGTCCTCACTGAAAGATTCCGTCAGTCTACAGAATTGGTTATAAGAGCTCTAGCTTGAGAGCCTTTTGTTATTTCTTTCGAGAAATATTATTTGTATATTAGACTTAACGTGACTTCTCGTATTCCTGGAAGCACTTAATTACGTCTGACTCACTTTTATCGACGTAATTTGATCAAAGTGAAACTGAAAGCTAAATTACAGAGGAGAAAAATCCCTTAGGTTCAACTTTTTCGAGCTTGGTAGAAGGGTTGATTGTAGCTTGGTAAGTTTTGTGCAAGTCCTGTTATTTTGTTAAGGAAACTGCAATTGACTTTTAACTTAATTTTGTCTTACAAAAGTATAATTTCCTTGCAGACCCTTTCGTCGTGACAAATCGAGCGAACCGATCAAGACTACTTGGGAATTTATAACTTAGGTAGGCATTGCATTAGCTGAAGCTACACTAGAACTCCAAGGTTCCTTTATCTTAGAAATGCAATTGGTTCTTAATCTTCAGGGTTAAACTTTTGTCAAAGTATGTTAGTCCGTATTGTCTATGAACTTTCACATCGCAGAGGGTTTTTTCATCATCATGTAGGATTTCCTTTCCGCCCTTTCACTGATTTATTATGCATACATGGTTATCATCCCGCTCTGTATACATTAAACCTCCATTAAGTGGCCAGAAATCAATGCCCCGAAATAATTGTAGTAAAGAATGGGAAATTAAACCTCGACTGAGCAGCCACCTCTATTATACAGTTGAACCATCAAGCGGCCATCCCCCATTAAGCGGCCAGTAATCAGATCATCAGTAATCAGTGCCCCGAAAATTCTCCAGCGCATAGCAATCATGGCTATTTTATCGTCGGTCACTTCCTTATTAAATAGCCAAACTTCGAATAAACACTTCGAACTTACAAGGGACATATTCAAAAACAATATATTACCTGCCACCGATTCCTAACGACCTCACTTAGTTACCAGAGGAAAATCAAGTTGAGGGAAAACTATCTTTTGTAATACTACCACTGAAATTTGTCACCAGTCCGGTTGTCAAGAAAGTCTCAGGGCCGGGTAGGGTATATGACAGCACATCTGCGACAATAAAAATTTCACTTTACTTCAAATCACACACAAAATGCGAGTCTTGTTGAAGGTCACACAAGAGGCATATCCGGCAAAGTAAGTAGAAAAACAGGAAGTGTAAGACCAACTTTCTCACTAAGATTCTATCATGTCATAAACAGAATTTGTCAGGGGCACCCAACGACGGTTTTCTCCTAAATGCATTGAAAACACTTTTTAGGCTATACAAAGTACTTTTAGATCTGTAGAAATACATTCTTATCGGCGCTAGTTTATATTTGTTCTGTCATCCTAGGGCAACTTGAATCTTTTCGAAATTGCCAGGGCTTCAGTATCATATTTTCCCGAAAATGTTAGAGGGTATTTTATTAGTTTTACGAAGGTGAGAATTTTTCTGATTCCTCTTTCCATCGCATTTTCGAATCCGAAAATTTTAGGTTTCCTTTTTCTGTGAAAAAAAGCTTAATCCGGGGAGTGAAATGCAAAAAAATAAACTTTAGAAAATGGTAGAGAATTTATTAGATAAGCTTTGAAAATTAAACATGAATGGAACGGTCATCTAGAAATTCTTAGCCTTCCTCAAGGTATCGAAAACTCTAGGCAATTTTTGCTTCTCCGAACAGATATTTCACAGAAGCAGCCGTTGGGTACCCCTTATTTGTTATATTAAAGAGCTCTTTGTCGACGAAATTTGATCAAAGTGAAACTGAAAGCTAAATTACAAAAGGGAAAAATCTCTTAGGTTCAACTTTTTCGAGCTTGGTAGAAGGGTTGATTGTGGTTTTGTACGTTTTGTGCAAGTCCTGTTTTTTTGTGAAGGAAAATGCAAGTTGACTTTTGACTTAATTTGGTCTTACAAAATATAATTTCCTTGCAGACCCTTTCGTCGTGACAAATCGAGCGAACCGATCAAGACTACTCGAGAATTTATAACCGAGGTAGGCATTGCATTAGCTGAAGTTACCCTAGAACTCCAAGGTTCCTTTACCTTAGAAATGCATTTGGTTCTTAATCTTCAGGGTTAAACTTTTGTCAAAGTATGTCTCTGTTTAATAAGACCGTGTTGTCTATAATCTTTCTGTTCGCAGGGGACTTTTTCGGCGACAGTACCTTTCAATGATTTATTATACATACATGGTTATCATCCCACTCTATATACAGTTAAACCTCCATAAGCGGCCAGTAATCAATGCCCCGAAATAATTGTAGTGAAGAATGGGAAATTAAACCTCTCTTGAGCGGCCACCTCTATTATACAGTTCAACCATTTTAAGCGGCCATCCTCCATTAAGCGGCCAGTAATCATAAGTAATCAATGCCCCGAAAATTCTCCAGCGCATAGCAATCATGACTATTTTATCGTCGGTCACATCCTTATTAAATAGCCAAACTTCGAATAAACACTTCGATCTAACAAGGGACATATTTAAAAACAATATATTATCTGCCCTCTATTCCTAACGACCACACTTAGTTACCAGAGGAAAATCAAGTTGGAGGAAAACTATCTCTCGTAATACTACCACTGAAATTTGTCACCAGTCCGGTTGTCAAGAAAGTCTCAGGGCCGGGTAGGGTATATGACAGCACATCTGCGACAATAAAAATTCCATTTTACTTCAAATCACACACAAAATGCGAGTCTTGTAAAGGTCACACAAGAGGCATATCCGGCAGAGTAAGGAGAAAAACAGGAAGTCTAAGATCAACTTCCTCACTGGAAGATTCCATCAGTCAACAGAATTTGTTTGTCGACGTAATTTGATCAACGTGAAAGTGGAAGCTAAATTACAAAAGGGAAAAATCCCTTAGGTTCGAACTTTTTCGAGCTTGGTAGAAGGGTTGATTGTGGCTTGGTAAGTTTTGTGCAAGTCCTGTTTTTTTTTTTTTATGGAAAATGCAATTGACTTTTAACTTAATTTTGTCTTACAAAATACAATTTCCTTGCAGACACTTTCCTCGTGACAAATCAAGGAAACCGATCAAGAATAACTAAGGTAAGCATTGCATTAACTGAAGCTACACTAAAACTCCAAGGTTCCTTTACCTTAGAAATGCATTTGGTTCTTAATCTCCAGGGTTAAACTTTTGTCAAAGTATGTTTGTCCGTGTTGTCTATGATCTTTCAGATCGCAGAAGAATTTTTCCGCGATATTACCCATCATGTAGGATTTCCTCTCCGCCCTTTCACTGATTTATTATGCATACATGGTTATCATCCCACTCTGTATACAGTTGAACCTCCATTAAGTGGCCACCTATTAAGCAGCCATCCTCCATTAAGCGGCCAGTAATCAGGGGCACCCAACGAATGTTTTCTGTAAAATATCTGTTCGGAGAAGCAGATGCTGCCTTGAATTTTCTATTGCTTGAGGACGGTTAAAAATTTCTAGATGACTGATTTCCAGTCATGTACACTTTTCGAAGCTTATCTAATTATTTCCCTACGATTTTCTGAAGTTTAATTCTTTACATTTCACTGCCCAGGTTAGGCTATTTTTCGTACAAAAAGGAAACCTAAAATTTCGGATTCAAAAATGTGATGGAGAGAGGAATCATAAAAATTCTCACTTTCGTAATAAGTTAAATTGCAGTAGAATTTTTTTGCAAAATAATACTGAAGCCCTTGTAATTTCTTAAAGACAAAAGTTTCCCTAGGATGACATGAACAGGTACAAATTTTATAGTGCCCCTTAGAATGCATTTCTAGAGATCTTAAAGTATTCTGGATAGCTTAAAAAACCATTCGAATGTATTTAGGAGGAAACCGTTGTTGGGTAATCAAAGTCCCGAAATAATTGTAGAAAAGAGAACACCCGAGCAGCTACCTCTATTAAGCGATCGCGGCCACCTTTGTGCCGTTCCAATAAGAGTTTTCCTATTTTTCTGATTTTTCTTACCTCTATTGAGCGGCCATAACAAACTAAGGTTAGGTTTATTTTAAAAATATGATAAAGGAAAATGGTCCGAGATAGAAGAGGACGTTCTCCCCGTATACGTCACTATAGGGAGCCTGACCCCATGGGGCTTTTCATTATCTGAATGAAAACCTTCACGTTTATAATACAAATCACATTCAATTTTTTAAAGATGTACCGAGTGAACGAAAATGGTGTGTTTGCGCGATGGCGACATTTGATTACAACTAGTGGAATCATTAGTAATTTGGGGTTACATGTATCATTCTGAGAAACTGCTGACAGTGGAGCCAGCGCGCGCTACTGGCTACCAAACAATACTTTAAAACAGCATAAAGCTTTAAAAAGCGTAACGATAGAACCCATCCCCGTCACTAGCCTGCATAACAGGCGCTTTATGAGCCAAGCAAGGCGAACGTGGCATTTTAAGCGAAGCAACTTTTTCTTGGTAGAAGGGTTGATTGTTTCTTAGGTAAGTTTTGTACAAGTCCTGTTATTTTGCCAAGGAAAATAGGAATTGACTTTTATACTTATAAACTTGTCTTACAAAATATTATTTCCTCATAGACCCTTTCGTCGTGACAAATCAAGCGAACCGATCAAGACTACTCGGGAATTTATAACCGAGGTAGGCATTGCATTAGTTGAAGGTACACTAGAACTCCAAGGTTTCTTTACCCTAGAAATGCATTTGGTTCTTTAATCTCTAGGAACCTTTTGTCAAAGTATGTCTCTGTGTTGGCTATGATCCTTCAGATCGCAGAGGGTTCAGTTTTTCATGATCATTTAGGATTTCCTCTCCGCCCTTTCACTGATTTATTTTGTATACATTATTACCATCCCACTCTGTATACAGTTAAACCTCTATTGAGCGGTCAGTAATCAATGCCCCGAAATAATTGTAGTGAAGAATGGGGAATTAAACCTCGATTGAGAGGCCACCTCTGTTATACAGTCGAATCATTTTAAGTGGCCATCCTCCATTTAGCGGGCTGTAATCATGAGTAATCAATGGCCCCAAATAACTGTGGTAGTAAAGAATCATGGGAAATTAAACCTCTATTGAGCGACCACCGCTATTAAGCAATCGCTGCCACCTTTTTGCCTCTCTAACGAGAGTTGTCCCATTGTTCTCACCTTTATTAAGCGGCCATCAAGCACTTGACGTACTACGATTGGCTTTATTTTTAAGAATACGATAAAGGAAAACAGTCCGAGATAGAGGATGAATACAAATAAGAGTGTTGTAGCAAAATGGCGGAAAGTATTCCCCAAAACATCAATTAAATTTGAAAAACGCTTTAAACAAATATTTTATCTCCCTGAAATAGCTAGGCTCTCATCCTTTCCCTCTCCTCACGATTTTTTCACCCTTTTCCCAAACAGAGAGCCCGTTCACAGGCTAACAAAAGGGGCAAGGGATTGGGAGCAAGGAGGGAAGGGAGGAAGGGTTATTTGATTCCATGGGATTAGTAGAGGATTAAAACTGGTAAACTACCTTAATCTCATGTAATGCGGAAATCTGTTGTACCTTGATAAAATTATAAGGGATGTAGAAAATAGGGAGGCGTTGAGGGAAATATTTGTTTCGTAATACTACCACTAAAATTTGTCACCAGTCCGATTGTCAAGAAAGTCTCAGGGGTAGGGTATATGACAGCACATCTGCGACAATAAACATTCCATTTTACTTCAAATCACACACAAAATGCGAGTCTTGTTAAAGGTCACACAAGAGGCATATCCGGTAGTCTAAGGAGAAAAACAGGAAGTCTAAGACCAACTTCCTCACTGAAAGATTCCATCAGTCTACAGAATTTGTTGTGACAGCCCTAGTTTGCGAGCCTTTTGTTATTTCTTTCGAGAAATATTAGTTGTATATTAGATTTAAAGTGACTCCTCGTATTCTTCATTGGTTTTCAAATTTTTCCTGGTTGGTTGGAGCTATTTCTGGAAGCACTTACGGCACTTTTGTTGACGTAATTTGATCAAAGTGAAACTGAAAGCTAAATTACAAAAGGGAAAAATCCTTTCAACTTTTTCGAGCTTGGCCAGAAGGGTTGATTGTTGCTTGGTACGTTTTGTGCAAGTCCTGTTATTTTGTGAAGGAAAATGCAATTGACTTTTAACTTAATTTTGTCTTACAAAATATAATTTCCTCGTAGACCCTTTCGTTGGGACAAATCAAGCGAAATATCAAGACTACTTGGGAATTAAAAACTAAGGTAGGCATTGCATGCATTAGCTGAAGTTACACTAGAACGTGTTGTCTATGATCTTTCAGATCACAGAGGACTTTTTCAGCGATATTACCCGTCATGTAGGATTTCCTCTCCGCCCTTTCACTGATTTATTATGCATACATGGTTATCATCCCACTCTGTATACAGTAGAACCTCCATTAAGTGGCCACCTATTAAGCAGCCATCCTCCATTAAGCGGCCAGTAATCAATGCCCCGAAATAATTGTAGAAAAGAATGGGAAATTAAACCTCGATTGAGCGGCCACCTCTATTAAGCGATCGCTTCCAGTTTCAGTGCTGTTCCTATGAGAGTTTTCCCATTTTTCTCACCTCTATTAAGCGGCCATAATTAAAAAATCAAGATCATAACCGACTAAGGTTGGCTTTATTTTAAGAATATGATGAAGGAAAACAGTCCGAGATAGAAGAGAACGGCCTCCCCGTATACGCCATTATAGGGAGCGTGACCCGACCGGAGGATTTTCGAAACCCTCAAGTTTCTTCTATAGATGACATTCCATTATTCAGGATGTACCGAGTGATGCGAATTTCATTATTCTTTAACCGAAAGAAAACATAGAATCGTGATTTTCATGACTCTTTGGCCTGCTGCAGCCAGTATAAAACCAGATTTTTGCTTCCTCCTATTGCTCCTAACGCTGATCATTAAAAATACGGTGCATTTGGGAGATGGCGACATTTGATTACAACTAGTGGTATCCTTCAGTTAGCTTGCGAGCAAGCTCTCCTATTTGGGCAAGCGAAGTGAGCCTCGCGAGAACGCGCGAGCGAGGGGCCGTCGCGGCTTCGCCTCTTGCTCGCGCGTTATCGCGAGACTCGCTTCACTCGCCCTAATAGGAGAGTTTGCTCGCAGGCTATCCTTCAGTAATTTGGGGTTACGTTTATCTGAGGAACTGCTCCCAGTGGAGCCAGCGCGCGCTACTGGCTACCAAATAATACTTTAAGGCAACATAAAGCTTTAAAGCGTAACGCTAGAACCCATCCCCGTTCTCGTCACACATCTTCTTCTTCGGTTTTGATCCGAACAGAACCACAAATAAGTTCCCACCTCGGGGGTAGAAAAAACCCGAGCTGTTTACTTACTGATGAGCACGGAAAGTGGAAATTTGTCTGACTGCGTAGCAGGCGTCAACAGGGATTAGGGATTCGAAGAGGGGAGGGAGGGGTGGGGAATTTGATACCAGGGGATTAGTAGACGATTGAAACAAACTGCCTCAATCTCATGTAATACGGAAATCATAATACATTGATAAAATTATAGTGGACATAGAAAATTGGAAGGAGTTTTGAAGGAAAACTGTATTTCGTGCGGACATTACAACTGAAATTTGTCACCAGTCCGGTTGTTAAGCAAGTTCCAGGGTAGGGCGTATGACAGCACAACTGCGACAATTGAAGTTCCAGTCTTATTTTTTTTCACCTCAAATCAAACACTAAGTGTATTTGAGCCTCGTTAGAAGAATAGAAGGTCACTCATCACAAAGCATATCCGGCAGTATTCGGAGAAAAAATAGGAAGTTTCAGACCAACTGTTCGGAAGTTAGCCAAACGCGGTCATTGCACGCGTGCTGAACAAGAATGTTGTATCATGACAGACTAAACTCCCAAAGCACAAACTTAGCCAAAACGCTAAAAATCTTCAATGTTTACTCAAGTTTGGGCTTATAGAACATAATGTCACAGTTTTTCAATGATCACGAAATTCAGAATTCGGGTAGTTAGTCAATCGTTAATCAATTGTGGCCATGAAAAATTTGAAGGAAAAAAAACTACGAATTTTTAAGAAAATGCTTTTTTCGTGAGAAGGACTCTTAAACGCTGACAAAAGTCAACAACTAGCTAAAACTATAATTTGTATATGTTTGCATTGCTCGAAATCGCGCGCATTTACAACACCCTAAAGTTTTTTGCTGACTTGCACGGACCCATCTGTTATAAAGATCCCCAAAATAAAGGGATAAATCTCATAGTTTATGAGATACTATCGTGTAAAGTTGGCTCTTCATTTACGCATAAATTAGGACCTAAATTTGGAAACCGCTGAATTTCTCGCATTGGGTCTTTGCGACTTTGGTGAAAGTCTGTTCAACGCAAGGCACTAATACGCACTATATGTAGCCGAGAGATTTTCACCAAAAAATACCGGCAACAGCAGAATTTCGACTCAGACCCCAAAGAGGTGTGGCACTATAACCACGTGACATTTGCTCTGATCGCCCAAAATTTTTCTATATTGTAGATTGATCTATATGTTATCCATGCTATATGTTAGACTTACGATCAAAGTAAAGGTGGGGATACCAGAGAGCTTCGAAGTGGGATGGTACCCTCACAAAATAACTGGGTGGAGTCACCTTAAGTTTCCTTTTTCCCGCCGAAACTGACGTTCTCGTTCCAGTCTTTTCCCAGTCAACAGACGTCGTCGTCGTGAAATTCGTCGTGGTTCTTAAGTTCCCTATTACCGGTTCCTCGTCCCTAGAGTTGCTATTGTCGTACCTACCAAAGAAATTATAAGAAATTGTTGACCCTTTCGTCGGGACAAATCAAGCGAACTATCAAAACTACTTGGGAATTTCTAAATAAGGTAGGCATTGTATTAGCTGAAGTTACACTAGAACTCCAAGGTTCCTTTACCGTAAATATGCATTATAACGGAGCTCCACGCGTACGAGCGTAGCCCCATACCTAAACTAAAAAAAGTGTGGTAATCTACTTACTCCAGCTGTTACCCGAGAAGTTTTGGTAATCACGTAACCGTACGCTCGCCCGTCCCACAGGCATACCAACGTAAAATAACTGAATCAACAGGTAATATAGAGATTTACCCAGGGCTAAAAGAAAAGCTTTGGTTAATAATACTTATAAACAAAAAAAATTAAATCGTGTAATGTTCAACGGCGACGGCAATGAAAATGGCATCAAGATCAATAGATCTAACAAGAATCGCCAAAAGGTGATTTTTACTGAGCTGCCAATTTAGCGGGGTGGGTGGCTGCACACTTAGTCCACCAGGCTTGTCGCTGACCATTGCGTGACGTAGCATCTCATGTGAGAGTTAAACAGTTACTCATTTGAACATTGTACCCTTTTGGAAGACTTTCGTAACAAGAAAAATGAGTACCATTTTTAAGTAGGGGCTGTATAGTACCTTTTCAAATTCCACCATTATGAAGAAAAATAAGGAAGTGAGCCATTGATTCTAAGCAGGAAACAATAAGCGTCATTTTCACGCACCCCTCCCTCAATCTCTCTGCTCCCCAAAATATTGCTGGTTTTTAGTGTCACGCCATTCAAAATAGATCAAAATAAAAATCAAAACCGTTCAATAGATAAAGTCCAGAATCTGCCAAATGAAAGGAGGTACATATACAAAGACCCTCGCCAAGATGCAGGTCAGAGGAATATTTCGCATACGAGATATCCGAAGAAATGTTTTACCCGGCAAACTTATAGAGATTTGTATGGAGACGCCATGCTGGTACTCACCTGGATGAGCTCCAACATGGCGGACGGAAACCAACAGAAACATCTGTTACCGAGTTTTGCTACAAAAGCGTGAATCTATTCTTCGAGAAACTCATAAACATTAAAGTAATATTTTTTTCTAATACATGAACTGTTTAGATAGCAAAATTTCCTGAAATAAGTCATTTATTTAACCTACATGACAGCTCTCTTGGCCGCGTCATGTAAATGCCGCGCCACGCAAAAGCTTAGAAATTCAAGCGTACTCTATCACAAAACCAAGAACCCTTTTGAAGCGAAAATTTGTATGAAAATCAGTTTTCAGCTGCTCTAATGCATCGTGAAAGTAAAATCTTGGTAGGATCAATAGTTTTTTAGTTTGAATTTTAGTGACGTCATGTGAAAACCAACAATAGTGTGACTAATTTGACCTAACCGGAAATTCCAAAAACTATTGTCGTTACGGGTCAAAACGGCTGTTAATAACAAGCAGTAAATTTCTCAATTCTGGTTCTTAAGACTAACAAAGCAAATTAAATTTAAGTTTTGGTTTTGTCTGATATTGCGTTATAAAGCCTCTCTAACTGTCCTAGTGAATATATATAATATTTTTTTGACGCAGTGATAAACAATGAGCACATTCCCCAAGACATTCACTTCCTGTAAGGAATGCGGACTATTCATACGCAAAGCAAGAATCACAATAACATAAAAAGAGACATTGGCCGTCACATCTACTTTATGGAAGATAATTTATTGTATGCAATTTCTAAGTTACGTCATGTGTTGTTCAATGTTGTTACTAAAGTTCTTCGTACATGTCGTATATTCTAAGTACCATAGTGCACACAGCGAGCATAGAGATCAGAGAATGCGTCAAGTGGTCGCTTTCAAGAGCTTAAAAACAATGGAAAATCATTAAACTTTCAGGCCCAAAAAGTGGTCGCGATCGCTTACAAGAGGTGGTCGTTTACTGGAGGTTCCAACTGTAAGGCTTTGACTGGGAAAGTTTTGGTGCATGAGTTTTGGATTGGCGGTCTCTTATGGGAGGTGGTCCCACATGGAGGTTCGACTGTATCATCAACTGACGTAACACAACTCACTTTGACTCTGACGATGATTACCGCGCGTCAGTCAATGTCAATGCAACAGTCCTATTTAGTACTACGTCAGCCCTTGGACGATCATGCTCATCCTACTTATAGATCTACTTAAGAAAATAGGAGGGGAAAAAGGAAAATTCCTCAGGTTTTTACACCGAGTTGGACTTGAGCTGGAACCATCTGTGGAACTCATTACAGTTTTTTGAAAACCCACAAGCTTAAAATACCTGTAACGTTGTCAGTGTTTTGGTGGCAAAGAAATAGGTTTTCTTTTCAGTTGCTAAACACTTGTATTCCGCTACCTAGAGATGTTAACCCTTAGAAATAAGTTCACTTTCCCAAATTTGAATTTTCTGAAATGTTTCCGCTGGCCCGGTTTGTAGTTTGTTGACAACAAATTTATTTTTTCAGTGAAAGGTAGATGAATGTATAATGAGTAGATAGACAATTTTTATCATATAAACACCAATGAAATACCAAGTGAGCTTTCGCGCGAAAACTTGATATTTTCACATGTGAAAATAACATGTTATCTTCACATATGATATTCATGACTATGACACTAGGTCTAAGGATAGTTATCTATTGATAAAGTCAATCTCGAGTTGACTAAGAGGGCCTTTTTTTATAAGGGGGCTACCCTTTTTAATGATTGTATGTAGCTTTGTTCATTAGGAGGCTACTTTTTTTCGTTGATTATAATTATGTAATGTATCCCAGTTTCATATATAATTAATGTTTTTTATCTTTTTATTCATTTATTTTTATACAGGACCCATATTGATAGCAGTTTTTATAACTGAAATGGTCATCCTGTTTAAACATGTTATTATTATTATTATTATTACATGTGAAAATGTCATCGTTGCTATAGCTTCATAATAAACCGCACCTTTGAGACTAAAAAACTATTTAAGTAAAATGGTTGGTATTTCATTGGTGTTTATATTTAAAAATAGAACATTACATGGTCGCTTGGAGATACGAAATTTCACTTCTCGTGTTGAAAAAAATATTCACGAGTGAGCGCAGCGAACGAGTGAAATATTTTTCAACACTCGAAAGAAAATTTTCCCATCTCCGCGCGGCCATATAATATCCTCTATATATACGCCATGTTTAAACAATGGTAAATCTGTTTCTTTGTTGTTGTTGTTTTTTTAATTTCAATCATTGTCACCAAACGACTGTTGATATTTTCTTTATTTAGAGAAGGCCCCAGTCCATCAAGTCATATTATACAACGATGAAAAACACGTAGAAGGATCCCTTTTTGAGGCAAATCAAATGCGACTGTGATAGACAAAAACGATTAGTAAAGGAGCTAATAAATAAGATTTTACTGCAGCTTTTAATTTTACTTTTCAGACCCTCTTAGGTATCGTACATAAAGAGAAATGGTGTCGGCAGAAAAAAGAAACCACAATATGTATATACATTTTTTTTTTCAGAAGAGCTGAAATAGCAAAGCCAGCAAAAAATATGGGAAACGGAGCTATTAATGGTAATATTGGCGACCCCTTTGTCAACTTTAAAGATTTCCAGCACGCCCTAGGCATCGCCTATTCCACTCTGGGAGATTTCCGGAAAGCCAAAGAGTACCATGAACGACACCTCAAAATTTCGAGAGAAGTGGGAGACAGGGCAGGAGAAGGAATAGCGTACTGTAATCTTGGCAACGCCTATTACAGTCTTGGAGATTTCCAGAAAGCCATAGAGTACCATGAACGACGCCTCAAAATTTCGAAAGAAGTGGGAGACAGGGCAGGAGAAGGAGGAGCGTACGGTAATCTTGGCATCGCCTACGGAAATCTTGGATATTTTCAGAAAGCCATAGAGTACCATGAACGACACCTCAAAATTTCGAGAGAAGTGGGAGACAGGGCAGGAGAAGGAGGAGCGTACGGTAATCTTGGCAACGCCTATCACGGTCTTGGAGATTTCCAGAAAGCCATAGAGTACCATGAACGACGCCTCAAAATTTCGAAAGAAGTGGGAGACTGGGCAGGAGAAGGAGGAGCGTACGGTAATCTTGGCATCGCCTACAGAAATCTTGGATATTTTCAGAAAGCCATAGAGTACCATGAACGACACCTCAAAATTTCGAAAGAAGTGGGAGACAGGGCAGGAGAAGGAGGAGCGTACGGTAATCTTGGCAACGCCTATGACAGTCTTGGAGATTTCCAGAAAGCCATAGAGTACCATAAACGACACCTAAAAAATTCGAAAGAAGTGGGAGACAGGGCAGGAGAAGGAAAAGCGTACAGTAATCTTGGCAACGCCTGTTACAGTCTTGGAGATTTCCAGAAAGCCATAGAGTGCCATGAACGACACCTCAAAATTTCGAAAGAAGTGGGAGACAGGGCAGGAGAAGGAAAAGCATACGGTAATCTTGGCAACGCCTATGACAGTGTTGGAGATTTCCAGAAAGCCATAGAGTACCATGAACGAGACCTCAAAATTTCGAAAGAAGTGGGAGACAGGGCAGGAGAAGGAAAAGCGTACGGTAATCTTGGCAACGCCTATGACAGTCTTGGAGATTTCCAGAAAGCCATAGCGCACCATGAACGACACCTCAAAATTTCGAAAGAAGTCGGAGGCAGGGCAGGAGAAGGAAAGGCGTACGGTAATCTTGGCAACGCTTATAACAGTCTTGGAGATTTCCAGAAAGCTATAGAGTACCATGAACGAGACCTCAAAATTTCGAAAGAAGTGGGAGACAGGGCAGGAGAAGGAAAAGCGTACGGTAATCTTGGCAACGCCTATTACAGTGTTGGAGATTTCCAGAAAGCCATAGAGTACCATGAACGACACCTCAAAATTTTGAAAGAAGTGGGTGACAGGGCAGGAGAAGGAATAGCGTACGGCAATCTTGGCAACGCCTATTACAGTGTTGGAGATTTCCAGAAAGCCATAGAGTACCAAGAACGAGACCTCAAAATTTCGAAAGAAGTGGGAGACAGGGCAGGAGAAGGAAAGGCGTACGGTAATCTTGGCAACGCCTATCACAGTCTTGGAGATTTCCAGAAAGCCGTTCAGTGTTACAAGAACAGTGTTATAGCCTTCGACTACATTAGGAGAAATCTCATATCTAACGACGAATGGAAGATTACCCTTAAAAGTACGTATGATCGTGTTAATTTGAGGCTGTGGGAGCTGCAATTTAAGGAAGGTAAGGTCATTGAGGCACTTTTAACTGCTGATCAAGGACGTGCACGAGCTTTAAATGATCTTCTGGAGTCCAAGTATGGCCTTAAAGGGCTACGACCAGAAATAGGAACACTTTCTGCAACACCAAGTGACTTTGCTATTTACTTACCACCAAATACAGTTTTCATGGGTATCAGCGAGGGAGGAATAGTTCTCTGGGTGACCGAGAAAGGAAATGAAATCAAAACTAGGAGAACTGAGATTGATATGTCCGTCACAACCTATTTTCAGTCTCTACTTAAGGCTACACATACAGAAATACGTGTAAGAGCTGATGTTGATTGTGAAGATCGCTCATTAAGTAACCCAAGCGATAAGAAGTTAGCAAAAAAAAAAAAATCAAGTAAGCTAAAGTCTCATCTTTCATATTTTGACACAAAGTCATTACAAACATTTTACAATGTTGTCATAGACCCTATAAGAGACTTAATCCAGGGCGATGAGGTTGTGATTGTTCCACAAGGACCTTTGTGTTTGGCGCCTTATGCTGCTTTCATGGACTTGAAATCAAAGTACCTCTCTGAAACGTTTAGAATTCGTCTGCTCCCCTCGCTTTCTAGCCTGCAATTGATCCAAAATTGTTCAGCAGATTGGCACAGCCAAACCGGCGCTCTTCTCGTCGGCGATCCGTGGGTACAGGAGGTAACGACGCTAGAGCAGTTAGAGTGGGCCGAAAAAGAAGTGCAGATGATTGGGGAAATACTGCAAACGGAACCTCTCGTTGGAACGAAGGCAACAAAAGATGAAGTTTTGAGACGTATTTCCTCGGTTGCTTTGGTGCACATTGCTGCTCACGGTAAAATGGAAACAGGAGAAATTGTCTTGGCCCCTAACACAACACGTTCATCCGTGAATCCAGTCAGGGAGGACTATCTCTTAACTATGAAAGATGTTTTAAAGGCGCAGACCAGGGCAAGACTTGTTGTACTTAGCTGTTGTCATAGTGCTCGAGGAGAAGTCAAATCTGAGGGTGTAGTCGGCATCGCACGGGCTTTTTTGGGTGCTGGTGCTCGTGCTGTTCTGGTGTCTCTGTGGGCGATCGACGACGAAGCTACTATGGAGTTCATGAAATTTTTCTACCAAGAACTAGTCCATGGACGAAGTGCCAGTGAGGCCCTGAATAAAGCCATGAAATCCATGAGAGAATCTGACGATTTTAACGCAGTGAGGTACTGGGCGCCTTTTGTTCTCATTGGTGATGACGTAACCCTCGAGTTTGAAGGCACCAATTAAATAGCAAGGTATTTTGGAATATATTTATTCCTGGGATCATAATCCCTGCATTTGCAAACGTCATTTTAACTAGCAATTATTTTTTTCACTTATCGGGCAACGAACTCAACCGATGCCACGCGTAGCGTCGATCTGCTTACAGGTCAAGTTGACAGTAAGAAAGGAAACTTTGTTTGGCAGTTAAACATTACAAAATTTATTACAAATTTCGCAATTTCTTTACATTTTAAAGTGTCGGTGGTCCTGTTGGAGCTCTTTCCGAATGATTGTAACTTACAGTCGAAACTGACGTATGCGACCACCCAAAATTTCCTGTCGTTTACGGAGGCTGATCGCCTAGGCTCCAATAATGGTGCTCTGAGTGGAAACACTTTGGCATTTTTGGTGGGTGGTTGATTATAAGATTTAATATCCTTACCCAGTTGAAAGTCAGGAAAGTACCGTAAATCCTATATTAATTTCCCCAGGGACTTAGTTATTTCAAGGACGTTTGAGAGGGGGGGGAGGGGCTTATTCAATTAAACGAATATCGTAGTCTCCATAAAGAACTAGAACACAAAGTGGAAAAGCTTTAGTTGGAGGTCATACAGCCGAAGAATAACAACAGTTCTGACCTTCAGTCCAGTTACAGTCGCATGAACATTTAATACACCTATCATATACGTCTATTGGTTTAGAGTAATGGTAGTGGGCTTGAAAGAGAGACAGGGAGCTTTCGCGCTTTCTTTCTTTGAAAAGATTGGAGGGTTTGGAGGGGAGGGGGGAGCTTTATTAAACATTTTCGGTTGTAAGTATCGGTTAATCTACAATAAGGTTTCTCGTACGATGTGCGCTACAGGTTTTAATGGTATTCTATACTTGAAATGATTTCGAAGTCAGGCGCCAACTGATTGACTTCGCTGACTGAAATCACTATTCTTCTGCAGCTACGTTTCTCTTTGCTGTTTTTGTTGTATAGGTACGATGAAAAATGCAGTGAAGCAGTTCCTAATTATCTGAAGTCGAAGACAGTTTAATTTTCATCACAGTTACGCTATAGAGCGTTCCTCGTAAGGGTGGCAACTCTTTATCTTGAAGAGAAAGAAAATGATGCTTCTTGGTTTGATTTATTTGTTTTTTTTTTTTCACACTACAGGCTGTAGAATTTAGTTAATGTAAAGAAAAAGATGGTGACGGGGAAGCCTGAACTGGAAGCCTGGGGCTTAGGTAGGGTCCAGGCTCCTCCTAGGTTAGTTTAAGTAGACTTACATTCTCGTCCCCAGAGCCTCCTAGGGGCCTGAGAACGAAAACCAGGACGCTCTTGTAGAAAATCAGAAATGACTGAAAGTCCTAAAATCTAGGACTTTAAATCCTGTGTCCCCAGAGCCTCCTGGTTCTCGTGCTCAGGCCCCCAGGGGGCTCTGGGGACGAGAATGCTAGACTTAAAGAAGAGGGACGACGCGATTTAATAAAATCAACAACAGATTGCTAAGATACAGGAAAAAGGAGTAGAATCAACATCAGTTACAAACAAAATTGCTTTTAAAATAGGAGGAAGTTGATTATATATAATCATTTAGAAATTATAAGGAGATTTAGTTGGATTATTATTAATAAAGATGATCACATATTAACGAGAAATTTTTCGACAAAAGTTCACATTTAAGGGAAAATTTCAAATTAGCTAGACCATGTCATGGTAGTTAAATGTTTGCTTAGGTCAAGTTTAAACGTCGAACTTCTCATATGCCGAACCTAATGCATAAATTACTAAAATTTGTTTTCGCTTGTAAGCGTTTTAGACCATTGAACATCATGAAAATGAATTGAGTCCGACTAATTAAGTTCGACATCTGAATCAACCGTCGAATGACTTATCATTTGGGTCGAGCTAAATAGGTATTAAGTTTGGTACATGAAAAGATCGACGTTTGAAATTGGAGAGTTCCAAGTGTGTGCATTGGCAAGATATTTTAAATTGTTTTAAGGTTGTGCGAGACTTTATATGGGGTCGAGGATTCTGAGCAAATTGAGTATTGTAATCATGAAGAAGAGAACCAGATGTGAAAAGGTTGTCGCTGAAGCTCGAAGGCAATGTAAGGAGAGATTTTCCATGAATTCTTTGTTTGCCTCGAATTTCATATCTTTGACGTTGTTTTTAGTAATTCATACTGAATTTGCATAAAGATGTTTTAGCTCCGCAAAAAGGCTCGTGCCATTTTATTGTCCTTTAAGTTGCTTTTGTTCGCTGAAGTAATAACCGTAGAAAAGCCAACAGTGTTCTTTAAAAAACAAAACTAATTTCTCGTTCTCTTTTCAGTTATAAACATTTTACTTCAATGACGATTTTTAAAAGGATAATTAGTTTCTGAATAATGGTTATTTAACTTCAGTCTATCTATCGTGATTTTACTACCGGACGACATCTATTCATACGCCTTTTGTACTGGTGCACTTTGTTTTAATTGCAAATTAGCTGTCTATTTGAGAACAAATATTTCATTAAGTTGTGAGTGAAATAGAGCAACTGGTGAATTTTGAATATGAAAGCTTTTGCCGTCTAGCTTGCAATTTTTTTTAAATAGATCGGTTTTTGTTTAAGGTGAAAACTTGCAATTAGTCTGCACTTCTTTCTGTTGAAACAGCCGCTCGCTGAACTTGAGACTTTCTAAAATAGCAACAGTATTAACAAAAGACTTCAGGTTAAAAATAGAGTTTGCATTTAGTTTTCAAAGTTTCTTTTGTCTTCATTGGTTGTAGAAATCATATTTAATACAAGTAAGCTAGTTTTTACTGTTTTTCGATTATTTTTGCTGTGTCCTTCCTGAGTTAATTATTTCCATTTGATCCGCTGAAGAATAAACGCTGTTGGAACCAAAGTTTAGTCCTGTTTAATCTACTGCTGTGTTTGCTGTACCAGTTAGTGGTTTGATCATATCCCAGTCCTACAGAGAAATGACGTCTCTTCCCCGCAAGCGAGTTATCATTAGTTAAATTCGATCGTTTCAGAGTGGAAAAACCTTCCGTCACAGCAATAGATAGTAAGTTACATGTGATGACTTTTCCAAGGATGTTTTTACTTCTTTTTCGTCAAGCCAATGCGAATTTAAAGTTGACATAAATACAAATCTGTGGACCCTATAACTGACGATCCTTGCGTTGAACATTTTGAACTTTTCATGATCATAATATACCCCAAACACTAAAGGGAGGGGGGGGGGGAGGGGACGGAGTGTAAAAAAGAGAAGAAGGGATCCCCTCTCCTTTTTTTCCTCCCTCCTTCTTTTCTTATTTCCCCCCCTCCTCTTTTAACGCCTGCTACGCAGGCTGCCCAAATACTGATAATAAGGTCTGTTAATGTTAAGCCGTTCGACATTTCTCTTCCACAGAATGAAGTAAAAAAAAAAAAAAAGACAGAAAAGTCTCACAGCAATCAGCCATTTCTTTGAAGTACGATTAAGTAACCGTTAAGAGAAAATTTTCAGGAAAGTTCTTTTCATTTGTGAGTGATTTATACTTGGGACTTCGTACGACATTAAAATGGATTAAGTCCTATCCTTGATGGCGAGGATCGAGACCGCGGCATACCTTTCTCGGGGGATGGTTTTGGATTCATTTACACACCTCATACAACCCAGCCTAACATCTTAGCCATGAGTTTAATATTATGAGCCATGACTTTCTTATCAAGCAAAAATGGCCGACGCCCTTCATTTTGCCGCCTGTGGTTTTTATGCATGCCCAATAGGGCAGTAGTGTAGGAGCTGTTCGTAAGGTCTCTCCTAATTGGTCGCAGGAAACAATGACATGTCATTCTTTCTATTGTTTTAGTATTGCTTGGAGTCAGGGAAACACACCATTGGCCCAATAGGGAGCTTAAGGAAAGGCGTTTTTGAACGGCGCATGTCAACCGGAAGTGAAGACTTTTCCATTTTAATGTGCCGTCATGTGACGCTGCCACATTTGTGCTGCGACTGTACATGTATTTTCTCTTAATGAACTTGCTCATGAAAGTAGTAGTATAGGAGGGACCGAATTAACCCCTTTTTTGCGGAGGATTCTCATTAGAGTGCGGAGGAATAAATTAACGTCGCTGACGTCATAGGCTATTGTCTTGATCTCATGAATAAAATGCGCAGGAATCTCATTAACTTGCGGTGGAATCTCATTAAGTATATCCAGTTTGACGGGTTTATCAATGACATCATGTGCTATTTTTATTTTGTGGCGGTCATGGTTGGTATAACCGGTTTGACAGGTTTTAGTTATTTTCGGAAGATGATGTCATATGTATTCCGGGGTACTATGATGTCATAGTTGTTTTGATTGGTTGACCGAAATTAGAAAAACGCTCATTGGCTGTCTCGTTTGACGAAGCATTCTGGTTAGTTGCCGTATTTTTTATTGTTTGAACGGTATAAAAGCCTGCTCACTGCCTTCCCGCATACTAATTTGGATTTCCTGCATACTAATTGTCTTCCTGCATACTAATTCGGTATAGGTTTACTAATAAGTGTCACTCTACTACAATAGGAACAATAGGCTTGCCTAGACTTGCCCGATAAGTAACTTGAGCCCGGTTTTCGGACCGTCTTTTAAAAGAAAAATAGGAATAAGAGAAGCGATCACCTAGCAACGCGAGAGACGGCTTCCTATATCTTATTTAGCGCTAAAACTCGGATATATATAAACAAAACATACACAAATTGGAGCTGTAAACTCTTTATTTCAAGTTTGTCTGACTATTACAGAACTGTTTTCTCCTTTCTATCTCGAGGAAAAGAAAAACTATTGAAGTCTTGTCATTTTCACGCACGGTTAATCAGTTAATTATGCGAGTTCACAAGCCCAAATTGAATACAAATTAGTTCATCTGTACAGCTAGACCCAAGGGAGCACCTTGACGTATTATTATAAAACAAATAACTTAACAAGGATCAATTGGACCACGCGGCTAATAATTGCTAGCAATAAAACCACAAGAGAGATACCGTTTTAAAAAACTTTATTAAAAAAACAAA